GGTAGATCGCATCTTCTTCTTCTCGGATGTTGAGGCCGAGGTACTGTGTGACGGTAGACGAGACCGTGAGCGTGAGGTCTTTCTGCAGCTCCCCTTCGAACCAGGAGGTGACGTTGTCTGTCGAGCCGATGTAGAGTAAATCGTCTACGTAGACGATTAGGAGGATGTAGTCTGTACCCTTCGTGAGCCGATACATTCCCTGATCGTGCGGTAGCTGCTTGAAGCCGATGCGAACGAGTCGGGCGTGCAGGTACTGTTGCCACAGTCGTGGGGCTTGTTTGATGCCGTAGAGCGATTTGAGTAGTTGACAGACGTGTGTGGAGTCCGTGCTGGAGCCGTGTGGTAGCTCCACGAAGATTTCTGCGTCAACAGGTGCGTAGAGAAAGGCGTTTGCGACGTCGATTTGTCGTAGCCTTTTCTTCTTCATGGCGGCGATCGCGAGGAGAATGCGTAGTGAGGTGTGTCGGCTGACCGGAGCAAAGGTTTCGGTGAAGTCGCGACCGTGCTCTTGGTCGAAGCCGCGTACGACCCAGCGCGCTTTGAATTTGTCGATGGTGCCATCTGCTTTCGTCTTCACGCGGAAGACCCATTTTCCGGTGAGAATGGTCTTGTTTCGTGCTACGCCGATAGGAACGATTTTCCAGGTGTTGCGTTCTTCTAGCGCTTTCAGCTCCTTGTCCATGGCTTCACGCCATTTTTCCCTGTGTTCCCCCCCCAGAGCCTGCTGAACCGTTGCAGGCTCTTTAGGAATGGCGCGGCCGTGGACTGCGGTGACGAGCCCGAGTATCTGGAGTCCACTCTGTGTGTAGCGGGGGAGTGTGGTGTCCTCGGGATAGACTGCCTCGTCTCCAGCTTCTGGATCAGGTGCGAAGTTGGGCCCTATGCGTTCTGCTTCGTTGGTGTTGACTTCAGCAGGTGTAACGTAACCGTTGTCGGCGAAGTGGTAGTAGGTTTCGGCGTTGATGCTTTCGCGAGGGTTATCTTCGTCCATCGGTACGTCCACTGAGCAGTAGGGAAGAGGTCCGGCTTCTTCCGAGGCTCCTTCCACGTTCTGCTCGTCCCAGTCAGCTTCGTCTCCTGCCGAAGCGAAGGCTCGATCGCCACGGAAGCCACCTGTGGGGTCTCGATTTTCGTCCAGGTTGGCAAGGTATGTTGGCAGTGTGAGCCGCTCGTAGAAAATGACATCACGTGCTGCTACTGTTTCCTTGGTGTGGATGTCGAAGATTTTCCATGCGTTGTAATGTTTTTCGATGCCCAGGTGTAGTCCCCACTGTGCGCGTTGGGAGAATCGGCCGGCTCGTGCAGATGGGGGTCGGTACTGTACCATGCAGCCGAAGACTCGTAACATTTTTGTGCTGCCCAATTTCCCTGTCCACAGCAGATGCGGTGATGTGTTGTTCGGGAGTGACGACGAAGAAAGCAAGTTGTGCAGCATTACGGCGTGGTCCATTGCTTCGGGCCACTGGTGGTTGGGTAGCCGCATGCCACGTAACAGTTTGCGCATGGTGTTCTGCAGAGTCCTGTTCATCCTTTCTGCTACACCCTGCTGTTGATGGGCGTAGGGAAGGGAGATGAGTCTCTTGATTCCCTTCTCCGCCAGATACTGCTTGAACCGCTGTGACGAGTATTCTCCTCCTCCGTCTGATTGAAAACTTTTGAGTTTAGCTCCCGATTCCCGTTCTGCTGCTGGAAGCCATGCCACGAAAGCCTCGAAAGCCATGTCGCGACTTGGTAAGTTTAGGTGCCAGACGTAACGTGTAGCGGCGTCGATGAAGGTGATGGTGTAGTTGTACGCGTTTTGTCCGGGTTCGCGGTTGTACAAGATGTCGCTGTACACTTTCTCGAGTGGTGCATATGCAGGTGCGCTTGGGTTGTGATGCGAGACGAAGGGCTGATGCGGTAAGTCGGCTTCGGGGCAGGTGAAGCACGTTCCTCGAACTCGCTGAAGTTCTCTGCCGTCGATCAGTAGGAGTGAATCCTTGTCAAGTACTCCAGCTCTTATCGTGTTGTTTAATACTGTGTTGCTTGGGTGTCCCATTCTTGCGTGCCAGGTTTCTTCGTTGGCGCGGTGTCCTGGCGAGCGTCGGTATATGTCGGAGTTGGAGTAGAAGCCGGCGATGATGTTCGCGCTTCTATGAACTTCCCGTGGTGCCGGGTTGAGCTGCTGCGCCGGTGTTGGCGGCGTCTCGTCGATGAAGGGCTGTGCCGTTGAGGGACCGGCGACTGGTGTTGATGTTTCTGCTGCTGTCGATGTTGTCTCTGCTGCTGCCGATGTTGTCTCTGTTGCTGCCGATGTTGTCTCTGCTGCTGCCGATGTTGCCTCTGCTGCTGCCGATGTTGTCTCTGCTGCTGCCGATGTTGTCTCTGCTGCTGCCGATGTTGTCTCTGCTGCTGCTGACTGCTGAATTGTCGCCAGCGCCCTTGTTCTTTCTGTTTCAGGGATGGTGTGTGAGTACCAGAAGCCGCTCGGGCTGAAGTCTGGATCAAGATCTGGAGGATGTGTCCAGTCAGTGAAGTTGACGATGGCGTCGCTGTCGGCCGTTCCGAGATCGGGGACGAAGTCAAGAACGAAGACGTTGTTCTTGAGAACCGCCTTGCCGATGTAGAGACCTCCTCTCCCGTGGTACAGCTTGAATTCCTGGGTTGTGCTGTCTGCTTCAAGGTGAATGCCTTTCGCCATCAGTTGACTGACGCTGAGTAAGTTGTAGCCGAGGCCTTCTGCAATTAAAACCTTGGACATCTGTAGAATGACGTTCGTTTCTCGTGACTGAAGTTGAACAACTCCTTGTCGTCGTGTGCGCAGGTTCTGATTGTTGGCGACGGTGATAACCACCTCTCGTTGAAGCTGGTGTTCTCGTTGTACGAAGCGTCCTGAGGAGCACATGTGTTGTCCGCAGCAACTGTCCAAGAACCACGTGTCCTTTCCGGATGGCTCGTTTTGGGCGATGGCAGCGTATGTCGGGTTCGGCTGAAGTGACTCGCGGCGTGGTGTCGTTTCGTCGAATTGCTCTTCTGGTGAGTAGTACGGTGGCGATTCTGTGATGCAAGAATCGTTCAGTCTTGCCATGCAGCTAACGATGTTTCTTGCTCCTTGTGCAGGTTGTCCCGTTGGTGTTGTTGAAGGTTGGAGCTGGGTCGTTGGATTCCGCTGTGTTGATGCGACTTGATTGCTTGAAGGTCGTAGCTGTCGCTGCGGAGTCGTTGACGGTTGTCGATTCGGGCAGTGTGTGCGTGGGTGTCCTGAAGTCTTGCAGATGTGGCAGAAAGGAGGTACTGGCTTCGGTTGTTGTTGTCGATTGTTGTAATTGTTGTGACGTCGTTGAGTGTGAAACGCGAACTCTGATGTTGTCGTCTTCTTTCTGTGTCGTTCTTCTTGCAGGTCCATGTCCTGCTGCTCAGCGTGGATTTCGGCGCAGAGTGCTGCTTCAGAGATTCTGCCGTGGGCTCGGAGGATAGCTTTGGTGGCGCGCCATTGGGGACCGAGACCACCAATGATGACTGTCACGAAGGCGTCTTCAGAGATTGACCCTCCGCATCGAAGAAGCTTGTCGCGCAGTTCGCGACATCGGCTGATATACGCCATCCCCTTTTCTCCCGGTTTCATTTCAACTGTTGTCATCTGTGCCATTAACCTGCTTTGGTTTACACTGTCTGTTGCTTGATACAGGCTCTTCAGGTGGCTGTACGCGAGCTCAGCGGAGTTGCCGTAACCCCGGTAAGAGCGTATGTTCTGCTGCTGAGTTGGTGTGACGTTCCTCAGTAGAATCGTATACGCCATCATCGATTGATACGTATACTGCTGCTTCTCATACTGTGTGCCGTTTGTTGGGTATTGCAGGGACCCGTCGAAGAAGCCGAGTATTTGCGCGCCTTCCATCATCAACTCAAACTCGAATGACCAGGTGAAGAAGTCCTTTCCGTCGAAGGGCCTTGATGTCTGCAGCTTCAGAACGTGCGCGAACTGCGATTGCACTTGTAACGCGTCCAGTGGTTTATCTTGTCCAGGTGAAGGCTGCGGCATGAAGCTGATCGACCCGCGCTCGTACGGGGCGAAGGTAGGTTGCTGTTGTTGGTTTCCGCGCGCATATGACGACCCGTCAAGGCTCATGGGTGTTGCTCCGTTGTTGTTGCTGTTGTGTGATTGTGCAGGTCCCGACTGCTGGTGCTGCTCGTAGAAGGACATGAAGGAGAAGAACTTCTCCATTATACTCGGGTCGAAGTTCGCGGGGTGATTTGCGGGAGTTTCAGTAGATGTTACTCTTGGTCTTGTTGCCGTGCCTTCCTCTGTCTGCAGGCCAGAGGCAGGAGGTGGAGTAGGAGTAGTGCCTGGGGAGCCGTTAGAGGAGCTCCTTTCCTTGCTTGTTGCCATGTCTTGTAATGATTTGAAGGTAGTAGAGTTTCCCCTGTTTGCTCTCATACCATGTTGGGCTGAAAAAGCCCTTAGGATCTTTCAAGGGAGAACTCTGGATGGATAGTGTTGTAATAGCGGAAGCGTTTAACAAAAGTTTGTGAACCACCTTGCGCTGGTATGTGAGGGCAAAGTAGATTGATTATAGCAAGGAAGTACAAGATTATATAATAATACAAGGAATATGAAAGGATATAGTTTGTAACTGCTTTACTGTTACTGTTGCGGTTCGATACAGTGCGACTCGGGCAACTGCTCTGTAACGAGTCAGTTGTGTGTCCTTAACTGTCGCGCTGCATTTGTCAGGTCAAAGGTCGCTTGACCTTTGACTTTCGCGTAACCTCCAGCAACCTCTTTTAACCTCCGAGGGTTGACTCGCGGGTGCTTCGACATGGCGTGCTTCGCTTCTGGTGTGGTGTTTCGACACGACAGAGGCGTTTACAATTTATTGTTTCCAACACAAGTCACAGAAAGTGAAAACATCCTTGTAGAAAGGTACACCACATTGCACAAGACACCTAACCTAATGGTCCTCATCGTCAGACTCCACTCCATCCTTGAAATGTACCGATCATGGTACTCAGCGGCGTTCTCAAGATTCATCGTCAGACTCCATTCGGGATATGTACCGGTCATAGTACTTAGCGGCATTCTCAAGGTCCCCGATCTCAGTGTAGCAGTCAGCGATGGCGCCATAAGCCTCTGTGTCCCCCGCGTGCTCGCCTGAGCTGCACGACTTGTCCAGCACCCTCTGGTGGTATGCTATCGCCTCCCGATACTTGCCCTGCCGCTGCAGGGACGCTCCTGGGGAATGGTAATGGAAAAGAGGAAAGGAACCAAGCGGGCGCAGAGGGAAGCAAGCAGAAGCATGTGAGGGACAGAGAGGGAGAGAGGAGAGAAGGTGGTGGGAAAATAAGGAGAGGGGAGCACATGCGCATGCCGCGGGCCTCAGTGTCCCCTGCATGCTCGCCTGTGCTGGCTGACTTGTCCGGTGGTATGCTATAGCCTCCCGATACTTGCCCTGCTGCTGCAGGGATGCTCCTGAGGAATGCGAAGAGGAAAGGGAACAAGTGGGGTCATAGAGAAGGGAGAGGGAAGCAAGCAGAAGCATGAGAGGGGCAGATAGAGTGGGAGAGAGGAGAGAAGGTGGTGGGACATTAAGGAGAGGATGGCGCATGCCTGTGCCATAGGCCTCTGTGTCCCCTGCGTGCTCGCCTGTGCTGGATGACTTGTCCTCCAGGCAATCCCCCATGCGCTGAGCCCGCTTTGAGACGTCTGGTAATGAGACGTCTCAAAACCCAATCAGACACATGCAGCAAGCCAGCGCACTCACCACAGCCACGCGCCGCCTTCTTCTCCTCCAGGCAACCCCCCAATGCGCTGCGCCTGCTGCAGCCTTTTGAGATGTCCCAACAGACCTAAAGATACATGACCCAACACCTAACACTCGCCCACGACCAGCGCCCCACCGCACTCACCACAGCCACGGGCCGCCTTCTTCTCCTCCAGGCAATCCCCCATGCGCTGCGCCTGCTGCAGCCCCTTCTCAAACTCCACAAACGCCGCCGCGTTGTTCCCCTCGCGCAGGTACCTCTTCCCCTCCTTCAGCAGCCGCAGCACCGCCCGCTTCTCCTCCGAAATCACCGCCCCCCCCTCCTTCTTTACAGCCTCCGCGGCCTCTGTTGGCGCGCTCACAGCGGCGACAGCAGCGGCGGCGGCGGCGGCAGCGGCGGCGGCGGCGGGCTGCCCGACGGGGGCGTAGGAGAGGGAGGGTGCGTAGGACTCGACGCGCGCCTGCTTGCGCAGGCTGATGTTGATCTGCCTCAGCTGCGCGTTGATCCGCTCAACTTCCGCCTTGCGCACTCTCGCCATCCACCCTGAGGTGGGGTCGTGGGGATGGGGATGGGTTGGGGTGGTGGAAATGGGATGCGGTGGGTTTGTGTGAGTTTTTAGGCGCCTCAAGAGTGCTTGCGCAGGCTGATGTTGATCAGCCGCAGCTTCGCGTTGATCCGCTCCACCTCCGCTTTGCACACTCGCGCCATCCAGCCTGGGGCGGGGCCGTGGGGACGGGAACGGGTGGGAATGTGTGAGCGAGTTTTGAGGCGCCTCAACATTTCTTCCTCCGCCTTGCGCACCGGCGTCATCCACCCTGTGACCATAAGGATGGGGTGGGTATGTCGTAAGCACACGCACGGGATGATGGGGTGGTGTTTGCTATTCGAATCTCGAGATGTCGTGAAATGGGTTAATGAAGTGGGAATACGCACGGAGTGTGTTGGCGGCGGAAGGGGAATCTGGGGAGGGACGCGATGACAGTCAGGGTGGATACGGCGGGAGGGGTATTTGAATAGTGCGTGACTAGTGAGTTGATGGTGGGTGAGTTGTGACAAGTGCTTTTGAGATGGCGAGAGGCCACAACAGAGAGGATGCTGAGGACATGGCGCGCGTGAACTGACAGGTGGGAGGACGGGATGCAAAAGTTGTCGATTTCAACCCCTTTGTCATGAAATTTGTCAAGCTCCTTCGTTGCGTCTGGTCAGATGAATTCGGCTTGAAACTGCCCATACAGCCAACTTCCCACGCACCTCACGCATACCCGATCAGTCTCAATCACACCCCAGTCTCAATCACGCCCCAGTCTCAATCATACCCGATGTAACCACCCACACCCATCTCCCACGCCGTTTGAGGAACCCCAACAGTCAAAACCCATCAATCTCACTGCACCTGACATCCATCTCCCACGCCGTTTGAGGCACCTCAACGGTCAAAAACCAACTAGTTCCGTGCTGCAACGCACCTCCGACGCCCGCGCCGATGAGCGCGATGAGCTGCACGACGCACGCCACGGCGATCACCGTGTTCAGGTCCGCTCCGCCCAGCTCCTGCGAGCACGCGTCCGCCAACGCCGCCGCCGCTGCCGCCGCCGCCGCGTCTGCATCCGCGGCAGTCTCCGCAAGGGCAGGAGGGAGGGGAAGCGCTGCGAGGAGAGTCCACAGACCGCCACCTGCTGTTGCAGTTGCTGCTATGGCCGCGGGTGCTGCTGTGGTGGTAGTGGATGTGGTGGTCACGGTCTGGAGTGAGTGGAGGGGAAGAGGATGGGGGAGATGGGAAAGAGAAAGGCACACAGCGCACGGGGATAAGGAGTTGCTGGTGGCAGGGGGTCATGGTGATCGTGGTGCAGAATCTTAGTTGACACTCAGCCACGTGGCTGAGTTGCATTCACGCGACTTTGGGTCGCGATAGTTCGCGACAGGTAAGCTGCGTATCTCGTGAGGATCAAAATGCGGCCAGCCCTCGCAATGCCTGGAATTTTCCATGCGTCGTGACGGACGCATGCAGAGACTGGCACTGCTGTCGCGCGCATTGAGGAGTTCTAGTGGCTCACGCATCCGTACACTGTCACTTAAAGCATGCGACTGGGACTTCTGTACTCGACGCTCTTCAAGGTTGTCATTAAAATCGCGACATCGTTTCACGACGCTAATCAGTCATGGTATGGCTCTCACCTTGTTCCGGTGGCTGGCGTGGCAGACGGGTCTCGCTACATGCTTCGTGCGACCTGCTGAATGTGAACGGGTCAGTGATGACAACACGAAGAGCGTTTGTTTCAGGAATTACAGCAGCACCCGCTCATAGAAGACATCTCGTCTGAACTACTCAACAGTTTGGAAACCAGACACATTTCTAGATCGCGTTGTCGAAAGAACGAACCTTGTAGGAGCGGCACGTGGGAGTGCGCATGTTGGCTCTTATGGCCGGGTATTCTACACGCCACGGACAGCGTGTAGGCGGATGCTACGCGCGCGGAAGCCAACATGAGTGCGGTTTCGAAGGTCCTGGCTCAAGTATTAAGCCTACGATACCTGGATTGGAGCTGCTGCAACCAGAAGAGCCACGCAGTCCTGAGCTAAACACAACGCAATCAAGGGAGAAATGAATTCTGATGCGTGGAGAAAATAATTCCTTTGCTGAAATCACAAGGCATTCCTCTTGGCTGCTGTGTGATAGAGCTTCTCGGAAGGAAGGTGCTTTGGGTTGAGTTCAGTGAGCTGCCACACCGCTGTATCATCATCAGAATATTAGTGCTTTGTTGGACCAATCTGCTGTGTTTTGCTCCCGACAAGTGGGACAATATCGTGGGAGCTCCCTGCGTGGATCCGTATGTATCCTAAAGACCATAGATAGTACGCCATGTGGAAAATACGGAGGAGTTGACTCAGCTGCACTGGGAATGCGGTATGGCATGTGCAATGAAAACACACCCGCTACACGTACGGAACTCCCAAAAATCAACTCCCAACAGTTCCATTTACCTCGATTATGTTTGAACTCGTTTCTGGTTACGGCTGAAATGAAAAATGTTCATAAAAGTAATTGCGCGATATGTTTGGACTAGGGAAAAGCCACCCATCGCATCGCGTAATTCCACCACGGATTCGTGGGTGCCACGGGCTCCAGCCTGGCTCCCGTCAGCCATACGTCACCATTAGGTTCGAATCTCCAGGTCAGTAGGCCTGACAATCTCACGGCCAGAGCCACGTCTCACTTCCGGCTCGGCAAGCACGATCTGGCTGCACTGTGGAGGTGTGCGGGGCTATTTTGAGCTTCGGAGCCGAAGCTGAATGTTCCGGGGCTGCGCTGGGCCTGAACGGCCCCTCTTTCCGTTTCCCTCCCCTCGCCGTGCGGCAAACCCAAAACTTCCCCGCAACGCCTCGCCTCCGGGGCTGTGCTTCCCCCCTGATCCTCGTGAGGACGAGACTGCGGAGCGGAGTGGGGGAGTGGTGTTGAAACTTGAAGGCCAACGGCAGGGAGAACAAAGAGCAACAAACCAAGCGACAGCTACAGCTACTCTACTCTTTCAGTCAGTGCTCGCCCAGCACAGACGGACTTCCAGCCAGAGGATCAGAAGGACGCTGAAGGGATTAGGCTTCGAAAAGTTTTTAGTTCCTTTGACAGACGATCTTTACGTCTATTTTAGTTGCTGGCCATGGCTAGATAATCGCGTGCTAGAGTCTTACGCGTGTCGCGAACAGTTTTCTTATATAAATATTATTGTAAGCATGGGGAACTGCTGCTCACAAGGGAAAGGCGGGGAGGCTCCGTTCCCTGACGCTCCTGAGTCGGTGAAGCAGGTGTTCAAAGAGTACGCGGACGAGAACGGCGTGATTACGAGCAAGGCTCTGCTGAAGTTCTTCCAGGAGTACCAGCAGGACAAGGTATCGTCGCTCGCTTGTGGTAACCATCTCGCATGTCCTCGCTCGCGTGTAATGTCAATCTCGTATCCACTGGTGACTTCTAAGCCGACTTGAAAGCCAAAAGGACAATGTGTCGTCACTCAACTGTGGTACAAATGTAACATTTTTTTCTATAAGTGTGACGTGTCAATACTAGATCGTCACTTTGTTGTAGAAGTACGACAATCTTCTATTATTGCAAGAAAGTAATGGCATTGACGTGTCTTCAGCGCCCCTGAAACTTCGGCTACGGTCTGCATTATGTCATTTCGATCTTTTTTTTTTTGCAGGGGGTGCTCCATGGACCTATCGCGAACCTTCTCCTCTCCTTCCCGAGCACCGGCGGTAAGGAGGATGCGGCAGCGGCGCCGGCGCCTAAGGAGCGAATGTACCGCAGCATGACGTTCAAGGGCCAGGGCAGCAAGCTCGCGCATGCGATGGAAAAAGTGTCGCACACCGTCGGCAGCAAGTTCAGGGGCGTCACAGGGGAGCCCAACGAGGACCGCTTCTTTCGCTTGCTCATGAACCCCTCTGCGACTGCGCCAATCATCGCCCGGGTAAGGCTTTTTCTTTTCCAATGCAATATGGCGATCCAGAGATTCTAAGACGGCCAGAAACAGATAGGCATACAGAGAGCATGTATAACGATCTAGAGTATTGTAAGTTCAACAATGTGAGTGTTTCTCGACTCGTGATGCGTCCCATATTCCAGGACTCACATGCGCGCTTTCCGCGAACCGTTCTTTCGTCTAGTTGGACGTTTGCGTCTGCCTCATAACTATCTTTCGCTTCTGTTCGTTTATGTTCGCATGATTGCTTGCGACGTCGCAGGTGTCGCACGACATGAAGCAGCCAATGTCGCACTACTTCATCTTCACGGGCCACAATTCGTACCTGAGTGGTAACCAGCTCACCAGCGACAGCAGCGTCAAGCCCATCATCAAGGCGCTGCAGCGCGGCGTACGCGTTATAGAGCTGGATCTGTGGCCCAACAACGAGAAGACGGAGATCGTCGTTATGCACGGCGGGTACGTACGACCCCCCAACCCGCCGTTCCCCCAACATTTCCCATCACACCCGCGCGCAACCCCGCGCCTTCCTCGCCTCCCCCCTTCTGTCCCTCCCAACCTTCCCCTCCCCCCTTCTCCAACCCCCCTTCCCCACTCCGCCCGACATTTCCCCTTCACCCCCTCCCCCGCTCCTCCCCCACCGCTCCCCAACTCCTCCCCCGCCGCTCTCCAACCCCTCCACCGCCGTTCCCCCGCGCGCAGCACGCTGACGAAGCCGGTGGGGTTCGCGGATTGCATCACGGCGATTAAGGAGCACGCGTTCGTGGCGTCCGAGTACCCCGTTATTATCACGCTCGAAGACCACCTCACGGCGCCACTGCAAGCCAAAGCCGCGCAGGTGAGAGAAGACCAAGGAACCGAGTCAGGCGCCTTAGTAAAGTAGCAGTATTTCCCAGACAAACAAGCGCATTGCGTCCTGCAAGCAGTAGGCGCTCAGTTGAGTGTAGCGAAGGGGGACGTTGCACCATGCGACGTTGCACCATGCGACGTTGCACCATGCGACGTTGCACCATGCGACCCCGCCCCCAACCCCCCTCGTGCCAGACCCTCACGTCCATGCCCAAGGAAGAAAACAAGAAGTTCCCGTCGCCATTCTCCCCACATCGTTCACTCGTTCCGTATATCCCCCTCCCCGTCCCTTCCTTTCGTCTCCCCCCTCGTCCCAGATCCTCACGTCTATCCTAGGAGACACGCTATACATGCCCAAGGACGGAGAGAAGGAGTTTCCGTCGCCCTTCTCGCTGCGCGGCAAGATCCTGATTTCCACGCAGCCGCCCAAGGGCCCCAAAGAGCTCTCCACGGTCGTCGCTACAGACGACCCCGCAGAGGAGAAGATAGACGGCCAGCCGGCAGACGGGACGGCGGGCGGCGCGGGGGGGGACGGCGGGGTGGCGGCGGTGGCGAGCGAGGAGCGGCGCGCGAAGGCGAAGGTGCTGGGGCTGGGGGACGCGGAGAAGGTGCGCGCCAAGGCGGAGAAGGCGCGCGAGGCGGCGAGCGCCGCGCTCAAGGAGGGGCGGCTGCATGAAGTGAACGAGGCGGAGCTTATCAAGGTGAGAGAGTTGGGGAGAATGACAGGGGATGGTAGGGTGGGGGGGGGGGGGGGAATGAACGGTGAGGGTCGGTTGGGGGGAGGTAGGGGGTTGCTGGGGTTGGGGGAGACAGAGAAGCGGGGCACGGCGGCGAGCGCGGCGCTGAAGGAGGGGCGGCTGCATGAAGTCAACGAGGCGGAACTTATCAAGGTGAGGGAGTGGGGTGAAATGAAAGGGGATGGTAGGTGGGGGGGGGAGGGGATGTGCGGGGGCTGGGGGTGGCGGAGAAATGGCCCGCTGTGGCGGTCATCGCTGGCAAGGAGAGAAAGAGCTCATGCAGGTGAGAGCTTGCGGGGGGAGAGGTTGTGGGGGAAGGGGAGGGGAGGTGTTGGGGTACGCGGGAAGGCAGGAGATGGTGCGCAGCGGAGAGCGTGGGAGGAGGATGAGGCAGCAGCGCTGCTGGAGCAGCTGCCTTCCCAGACTATCTCTGAGCCACCCAGGTTTCCGCTCTCTTACCTCACCCCTTTCCCCTGTCTCTCCAATTCTCTCTCTCACCTTCCCTACAGGAGGCGGGCACGTGGGAAGAAGAGGACGAGGCGGCAACACAGCCGGAGCAGCTGGCACCGGAGTACAGAAGGCTGATTGCCATTCCGGGCGGCAAGCTGACGGCGGGGCAGACGGTGGAGGACGGGCTGAGGGACAACGGCGAGGGGCCGCCCAAGCGCGTCAGCTTCAGCGAATCACAGCTCACCAACACGGCCAAGACGTGCCCCAAGGGGCTTGTGAGGTGAGCACAGAATGGGCAGGTTTTTTGTTTGACAGACGAGAGGAGGTGGTGATTGGTGATGTGCCCTAAGGGGTTTTGTCAGGTGAGGGAGCGGGAGGGTCGAGCTGAGGGGCTTGTGAGTTGAGTTGAGCGGGAGAGATGGGATGGGCTCGGGAGAGGTATCTGGGCTGAGGAGAGAGGGATTGGGGAAGGGGGAACAAAACAAGTGCAACGCTTGAGTGACCAAAAAAAAAAAAAAAAAAACATGCAAAATGGGGAGGTAGTTTTGGGAATGACCTGAGATGAGCTTGATGTGAAGTGAAGCTGACGTGGCAAGTTGAGGCAAAGACTGCTGGTGAGAAGCCATGGGCTCGTGCCGGCCATCTGCCCACCACTGACTTGATGTGAAGTGAAGCTGACGTGTTCCCCATGCATCAGGCGACCATGACGTGATGTGTTCGTTCGTTCCCCATCTCGCCCACGCATACTCGACCATACCACTCCCCCAACCCCCCACCCGTTCTCCTTCCCCTCCTTCCCCCACCACCCCCCCGAAATTGTCATCACACGAATCGTACCTGTCTTATCTTATCACCTTCCAGCCTGCTAACCTCTGTTCCGCCCCTACCCGCTGTTCCGCCCCTACCCGCTGTTCCGCCCCTACCCGCTGTTCCGCCCCTACCCGCTGTTCCGCCCCTACCCGCTGTTCCGCCCCTACCCGCTGTTCCGCCCCTACCCGCTGTTCCGCCCCTACCCGCTGTTCCGCCCCTACCCGCTGTTCCGCCCCTACCCGCTGTTCCGCCCCTACCCGCTGTTCCGCCCCTACCCGCTGTTCCGCCCCTACCCGCTGTTCCGCCCCTACCCGCTGTTCCGCCCCTACCCGCTGTTCCGCCCCTACCCGCTGTTCCGCCCCTACCCGCTGTTCCGCCCCTACCCGCTGTTCCGCCCCTACCCGCTGTTCCGCCCCTACCCGCTGTTCCGCCCCTACCCGCTGTTCCGCCCCTACCCGCTGTTCCGCCCCTACCCGCTGTTCCGCCCCTACCCGCTGTTCCGCCCCTACCCGCTGTTCCGCCCCTACCCGCTGTTCCGCCCCTACCCGCTGTTCCGCCCCTACCCGCTGTTCCGCCCCTACCCGCTGTTCCGCCCCTACCCGCTGTTCCGCCCCTACCCGCTGCTCCACTGTGCTGCCCTTCCTGCTCTGCCTTGCACCCCTTTCGCCAGCTTTACAACCCACCTTTGTCCAGCCCCTTACCTTACTGTTACCCTCCGCCTTTCTCCCTGCCCTCCAGTTTAGTCTTGCCCTCAACCTATGTGCACCCCCTACCTCTGCCCTGCCCCCACTCCGTCCGCTGCTCCCCACCCCACTCCCCCCCCCCCCCCTTCCCCCCATTCCCCCAGCTTCACGCAGCGCAATCTGCTTCGCATCTACCCCTTTGGGCTGAGGGTGACGTCATCCAACTACGACCCCATGCCCGCATGGCTGCATGGCGCGCAGATGGTCGCCATGAACATGCAGGTGAGCATGCATGATGACGTCATGGTGAGCCATGAACATGCAGGTGAGCATGCATGATGACGTCATGGTGGTGAGCCATGAATACATTCAGGTCAGCATACACTCAATGTGAAGGTCCAGTTGTCCAGTTCCCTGTTCTGTTGCCCGTCACACCCTTCTCTCCTTCACTCCGCCTCACTCCTCTTCAGCCAATCAACCCACCCACAACATTACCGTTACTCTCTATTCGAAAGTCCCCACCACCCTCCTCGACATCCTTCTTCCCTTCTGTGAACTACTTTTGGCCTGGAGTATATATCGCGGCCTCCTTGCCAGTTGCACAGCCTGCTGTCCCTCACATTCCCCTACCTGCACCCTTGTATCCCCTACCTGCACCCTTGTTTCCACACCCTTGTTTCCACACCCTTGTTTCTCGTCCTCCACTCATCACCAGGGCTACGGCCGGCCTCTGTGGATCGTGCACGGCTTTTTCCGAGCCAATGGGGGGTGCGGCTACCTCAAGAAGCCAGACTTCTACCTCACACCTGGGAAGAAGCTGGAGGGGATCTCAGAGGGGGATGAGAGCGCTGCAGGCAGCACGGAAGGGGTGTATGACCCTTCTGTTCCTCGACCCGTCCAAATGACCCTCCGGGTAACATAATTGTTTTGAAGGGTTCTTCGTTTGATATGGCACCTTTATCCCTAGTTTAGACTACCCGCTTCTCCTTTGCTCCAATTTTTCTCCTGATTCCTGTCGTCCTTACACCCCCCCATCCTTCTCCTTCCCCCTATTCTTCACCTGGCTCTATCCTCTCCTTGCCCCCCGTCCCTCTCCTTGCCCCCATCCTTTGCCTGGCCTGCAGGTGCGGGTGGTTGTTGGCACGGGGTGGTTGGAGCGGTATGGCAAGGGACACTTTGACACCTACTCCAAACCGGACTTCTATTGCAAAGTAAGATGCCGCTTGGCACTCCTCTTTGAGTTTCCAGAAAAAACAAACACTTGAAGCACATGTGGTTGTTGGCACGGGGTGGCTGGAGCGGTATGGCAAGGGTCGCTTCAACACCTACTCTGAACCGGATTTCTACTGCAATGTAAGATGCTGCTTGGCCCCCCCCCTCTTTGAGTTCCAGAGCAAACCACACTGCAAGCAACAAATGTCTAATGACATAAGAGTACACTGTGACATGGCACACTCTGTGGGTTCCATTTTCCATGCTCAATGGCCCATGTTCCATGCTTAATGTTGTTAATTGAGTGCTGCTATTTAGAGATTGCCAGTCTCCTCTGATTTATGCTGTTGTGCTTCACCCCCTCCCATAACCAGGTGAGCATTGAGGGCGCACCATCTGACTCAGTAGAGAGGAGGCTTGATACGCAAAGCGACAACTGGTGCCCCTCCTGGGATGACACTACCTTAGAGTTCCCCCTTGTGCTGCCTGAACTCGCTCTCCTCTGCATTGAGGTAGGTTCATGATCCGGACTGACTCCTGCGCCTTTTCTTACCGTATGTCTCCATGCTGGGTCTTATGTTTTATATCTCTCTCGCCTGTCTCACCTGTCTCACACCACAACTTGTCTACCTGTCTGCCAATCCCCCTGCAGGTTCTAGAGAAGGACCAGTTTAATGACGAGTTTGCAGGGCAGGTGGTACTGCCTGTGGCATCGCTCAAGCCAGGCTTCCGCTGTGTGTCGCTGTATGACCGAAAGGGGCATCCTCTTGTGGAGGTTGCTGGCGAGGAGGTTGTGGGGCCACGGTTACTGTGCCATTTTGAAATGGTGTCGTCTAGTGAATCAAACCAGGACAAGGAGCAAGAGCCTGAACTTCCAAAGGGGGCTCAAAGAAGTGCAGGTGGTAGCTACGAGGTTTGATGTAAACTAGGGCCAGGGTAGGCTCTAATGTTCAGCGGTAGTGTGATTTTCCATGCCTTTACTCCTAGGTAGTAGCACTATTTGATGCATGCAGATGTTTAGATAGTCTGTGTCCAGCCTTAGCTGTTACATTATTTCCACCTAGTCTGTATCCAGCCTTAGCTGTTACATTACTTCCACAGTATAAGCTAATGATGCACCATTATTGATGAAAATGAAACTTCCCAGCTTTTCAAACAATGAACCTAGACAGACAGCCTTGAAATGTTTAATTTGTTGTGCACTTAATAGCTATCTACAAACACTCAGAATGATAAAAATTAGAGACCCTTAGTTTTGCTTAATCGAGGTACCCTGCTTTCCTGCTCAAAAAGGTAGCACACGGTATATGATGCAGCCTACAATGTTGGGTCCACAAGACTAGTGTTTCCGGGTTAGAAGACTGAATTTCACAACCCTTCTAGACACAATAAAGTCTTCAGTCTTCTTCGTCTGCTTCTTCCAACCATTTGACAAAAGGCTCGAGTGCCTTGACAAACAGCTGCCTGCAAAGCAAGAATAGACTCCAAGTTAGTCTCCAATCAGAGCAAGCTCAAACATCACGTTTGACAGTGCAGGCCTTAGCACATACCTTCCTTTTGGATTGGAACCCTTGCGGAACCAAAGCATTATGGTGTCCTCCGCGAGCACATCACAATCATAGAGGGTCCTAACAAACTCAGGAAAGAGGCGCTGAATCTTAGCATCCTCATAGCACTGCATCTGAATGTGGTAAAGCAGCTCTAGCTCCATCTTGGCAGACGAGCACACTGCCTCCAATAGTTTTGCCCAGGATTTGAGCTGCCAGTAGACCAAAATAAAGCCCATGAGATAAGACCATGAAATGAATTTACCAAAACCAGCTCCTTGCATGAATAAACAGGTTCCATACGTACCTGCCGCAAGGCTGTGTTAGAATTCTGCTGCACATTTTTGCCTGACCACTGCACAGCGCCCATAACTGCATCCCAAACTGTGCGAACAACATCACCATCAGCCAGGCCGCCCTCCTTCTTTCTCTGCTTAACCATGTCAATCACGTCACCCACATCTGTGTGCTCTTCCTCTATCATGTCAGAAAGAGCTGTGTGCAGCTCTTTCAGCTTCACATCAAACACCACCTTCTTCTGGTAATCCGCCAATGCCTTCAGGCCCTCATTGCTGCAGCAACAAGAGCATATTGTGGGTTCAATTTTACAAGCAGCAATCATAAACACATGAAAAAGGCTTCATATGCTCTTCAATCGAAAATCAACTGCTAGACACGTGCTTTCAGAGGCTTCGTGCTTATGTTAACTGGTCTCGAGTTGAGTGGTCATACCTGAAATGTTGCGAAAATGCGTCTGGAGTCCGCTTCTGGGAGGGCATGAACTCGATCAGCCGCTGATCGACCTTTCCTTTCTTGAGCAGGCCCACAAGGTCATCCATGTTGGTCTCCACCAGATAGACACGGAAAAAGTCCGTGATGAAGCCCAGCGAGGTGCCTTTAGTGACGAGCGTGTCATTAAGGAGGGCGATGAAAATGACATCAGGTGCCAGGCCGGTGAACCGCTGTGAGAAGCAGAGGGCTGTCAAGACAGCAAGGCGCTTCCTCTCTTCAGGCTCATACATTTCCTGCATCCAACAGCAGCAAGACAATGAGACTCTACATCACCAAACCAAACAAGCACCACTTTGCAATGAGGCTCGCACCAGGGACTGCACCCAGCGGCGCAGCACATTCTCCAAGGATTTGATCATGAATGGCCGGCGTCGCAGAATCTTCTGGATGAAAAGGACATGTTTGAGAACCCCCTCCTTTGTGGGTGGTGAACTGAGCACATTCCACGGCTGCCGCTCTGCCCCCTCTTCTGGCTTGGTTGTGCCAGGCTGCATTCGCCCGCCGCTAAGGACCACCTGCGGAGAAGAGCCACAACTTTTATGACTAAGAATGCGGCTCAGGCCCGTCGTACGTACGCGGGATGAAGGGGTTTAAGCGGTAATACCTCAAAGAATGTCTCCCCATATCGAGAAAAATCGAGCTCGGAAGAGTCAATATCCTTCGCTATAAGCTCCTGCAACACGAATGGAGAGGGTGTCAGCTCTGAAACCCTTGTTACCGATCAGGTGAGCCGACACAGTCTCTGTAACTCACCAAATCCCCCTGGTGATCCTTGTAGATGTGGACGATCGCATCTGCAAAGCTGGTCGGATCTAAAGGAACCGCAATATTCCTCTTGCGGGTCTTGATCCGCGTGCCACTGGAAAGCGAAATCACCGAATTAGCTCGAACAACTGGAAAGTGAAAGGAGGAAAACAAAACAACATAACGCTTACCCGAGAGTGGGCTTCTCCTTGGAGCTGGAAAGACACAAATGTGACAGAAATAGACAAAAACAGATTTCATCAGGTTGTATGCGGAGCAGCGAAGGGGACAACAACTAAGGCCAAACGCGGAAAATCTACGAACCTCATAAACCTGCCGGGGATAACAAGGAAATGAGGCAAATTTCTATTGCAAGCCAATATCTGGCTTGCGTAGGAGGTTCTAGGAGATGGTCGTATGGAGGAGGAAGATCTCAAAAGCGGGGTAGATGACACACCAAACAGCAGTACAATGCGGTGACCACGCACTTAGGATCAGTTGAGTTGGACAGGACAGATGCTACGGCTAGTGGACAAATCCCTGCTTTCGGAAGGAACCGTTTGAAAGTGCCTCAAGACATATGTGGATTCATCAGAATAAACAGAGGCGGATCTTATGAGACATTTGTAGGGTAACATAACTTTCCTACAAAAAAAACCTATCATGATGCACCTACAGCCACGTACGGTATACAAAATGCAAGGCCACTTTCTTCTAAGAAGCCCCTTTTCTCGCCCTTCCCCTGCCTTTTCCACTCTTCGTGGTTCCCTTGCTTGAGTTGCCAGCAGATTTCCCCACAAGTCTCAAACGGACAGCTGCAAAACACACGAACAATACAAAAGATTCTTTGACCTGTAACGTGGAGAAATACTACTAGTTCACATAACCTGATTGCACGGCTTAAAGTACCTTCGTCGTCATCATCTTGCTCACTGCTTGCATCCTCAGCGGCTGCCTCATCATCATCTTCTTGCAGTGCTCCATCTGTTCCAACTCAACGGGGCATTATTGGTAATGATACCAAAATTTCAGTCACTGACCACAGATATAGCGTAAAGAGCGAGGAAATGATATGGTGTAATGGCCGATCATGCAAAAAGCGAACAGGAAACAACCGTTTGAGGCAGCTCACCTTCATCAACAGCCACAGGAAAGTCAGTGTCAGCCTGCAAAAGAGAAGCCTCATCCACACCTCCTCCACCGGACGGCTTAGCCATCTTGCCTCGACCACCCGCCTTCCCACGCCCCCCTGGCAGCTGGAGAGGCGGAAGGGTGGCAGCAGACTTGGCCTTGTGTGCCTGCTGCTCCTTCTTGTACTCCCGTGTCAGCCGAGCCTTCACTGGCGCTGCCACACCCTCCATAGGGCCAGAATGACCCTGGTGAAACAGAAGAGTGGTATTACAGAAGCTACAAAAGAGATGCAGAGCCATGTGGCAAAGGAATTATGACAAGTGGAGCGCAGGGCGAGGCGGGGAGGGGGATTCATACGGAACACGATTGAGGCTTGCAAAAGGGCTGGAATGAAAACACTTGCCTTGAAGTGTGAGAGCTCCACGGCAGTGTCAAGGTCGTCAAGTGTGAGACCATACTCCAGCATCTCCTCCACCACGGTCTCCACTCCATCCTGCTCGCACATGTTTGTTTGTGACATCGTGTGACATGTGACGCACATGGGAGAGGGGAGGACGAAGAGGAAGAAAGTGACAGCACGAAAAAGAGAAGTGATGAGGGGTTGTCGGGTGCAAATGGGGGAGGTGGAAGGCAGGGTGGAAGGGGGTGTGCATGAAGGTGCAAAAATCAAGGGGGCCCAATGAGGGCATGAAGGATGGTTGCCCAGATGCAACTGAGGGCCAAAGTTAGATGCACACCTGTGCATGTTTGTGCAGAGGACGTGTGAGGGAGGAGACGAGGGGCTCCAAGTAGTCAAGGCGAACAACTTGCCTGCAAGAAGAAAGAAAAGGAACTGGTCAAACGGTAATCATACAGGATAGCGCACCGGGGAACAAAGGAGGACTGGAGGGAGGGGCAGGAAAGGATGTGTAGATGGGGACAGTTCACTACCTTGATGGGTTGGGAAGGAGATGGGAGGAGAGGAGGTGCAGGTGCAGGTCATCCAGCAAGCGGTAGTTCTTGCCCAGAGAAGAGTTCTTCCCCAGCCACCCAGGAAAGCGGTTAAAATTCCGCTCGCCCTGTACGGAAAATGCCAGGTGGATGGTAAGCTTAATATTGCAAGCAGAATTGTATGAGAAAGTTGCTGGTGAAACACGGAATGGTAAAGTTGGCTTACGTCTAGAAGAGTAACCCTTCGTCCGGAGACCAACAAGCCCCTGGTCACATCACACCACACCAACATGGTTAATAGTCTGGATGGAACCAGCGGAAAAATGCAAAGCATGAGGTGTGACTGGTGCTGGTTTGGCACAAGGAAACTCACGGTGTGATGCAGGACATGACAGCAGCGAACTGCAGGTGCTGCCACTGCTGGTATCTGCGCACTTGCACGTTCACCAGGTCCCCACTGGAGATGGCATCGGCCGCTTGGGATAGGCGAGAGAGCAGGAGAGGAGACAATGGGTCGTTGCCAGGCACGTGGTTCAGGTAGTTCTCCTGCACACGGTGATATAAAAGGCAGGGAAAGTGAGTGAGTGGGAAGGCAACAGACTTCTTTCGGAAAAAGGAGGGAAACGGCTGGGATGGACGCAGTCATGGCTGCACGCTTCACAACTGAGGCCTAGTGATGCGATGTGGTCAAGGGCCAATTTCTTATATGGATGGATGTGTCATGGTGAGTGTGGGAGGCGGTGCCACCTGGATGAAGAGTGGCATGAGGTCAATGTCTGACATGGCTGCATCAATGAGAATGTCCAATTTCTTGCCACGCGCACCGTATCCCATCAGTCTGCGACACCCAGAAAAGGGTATAAAAGGGGTGGTTGATAAATAGGAGACATGGAACGACAGCCCGTGCAGTGACTTTGAAAAACATGCGCCCCATCACAGCGATGCAGTAAAATAGACGGCTCAGGTTGAAACCTTTCCAGAAAAAAATCATCCCCCAATGTCCCTGTAAGAACACAAAATCTCTTCCCCCCTCCACTCCCCTTCCCTTCCCCCCCCCCTTCCCCCCCACTGCACGCACGTATCAGCAGCGGCCATGGGGCGGATGTCCTCGTCCTTGGCGTTGGCCTGCATGCGCTGCTTCACCTCCTGGTATGACAGCTGCCGGCAGCTCAGCGCCATGTACTGCAGCTGGTTCAGCGCCAGCCGCATGTCCCCACCCGTGCGCTCCGCTAGCTCCTCCAGGGCATTCTGAGGGCAGAGAAAGATGTCAGCTGAAGGATTTAAGAGACTTTTGGATGCTGTTGCATGCGCTAACAAGAAATTAATGGGTTGTTGAAGAGAGACGCTTGAACCACTCACATCAGCGATTTGGATCTTCTCAGTGTTTGCCACCTGCCGCAATCTCTTGGCCATCTGCAGTGAAAGCAACACCATGACTCAGGCCCCACAAAAAAATGTAAGGTCAATCAATCTCGACTTGCATATGAAACCCTTATAGCTTCATCACAGGCTGTGCAGGCTGTGGTGCTGACCTGCTGTCTGGTGGGCTTCCTGTAGTTGAGGAGCAGGCAGTGGTTGATGAGGCTCTTGAGCTTCTGGCTGTAGCGGTCGTTGCAGATGCAGATGATGGGCACGCGGCTCTCCTTGATGCTCGCTATCAGGTCCGCCACGCCTCCCCTGTCGCCCCCCGACATGCCGTCCACCTCATCCATGATGAGAGCGGCTTTATCCACCTGCTGCTGCTGTTGCTGCTTGCCCCTGCAACAACCCATATGCCACAGTGCTTAGTCTACCAATGCAATGTATGGTTGTCATAGTATTTCGCATTTGCGACGGGCATGCGCTCGTGCTGAATAGTCAAACAGGCATGGCGGGAAGGTGAGGGGATTAAGGGCTGAGAAGTGATACTTGGTGGAGGTGGAGGTGGGCGAGAAGCGGAGAGTGGTGTTGGAGATCATCTCCTTGATGGTGTTGGACGTGGCGCCACCCATGCCGTTGCGGATCTTGGCGTCCGACTTCCCCCGAGAGTCACTGGCGTTCACCTGGTGGAAGAGGGGAGGGTGGTGGAGCAACACTGATGCCATGACACACCAAGCGACTAAATCAAGCCACTGCACAGCAAACCAGCAAGCCACTGTGAAGCCACTGTCCGATATATGCTGCATGACACTGATTTACTTGATCAGTGCTAAGGCACAGCACTGCAACTTGAGCAAGTTACAGGGCACACTTCGAGAGGCGAGAAGCCAAGAGCGGCACAGACAAGGCGAGCTGTAGTGGTCTTGCCAATGCCCGGCCCTCCACTGAGCAGCACGGCCTTCTTGTTCATGTCCCCTCCTGCCGCCCCTCCTCCACCAGCCGCTCCACCCTTCCCGCCCTTCTTGCCCTTCTTGGCCCCTCCTTGCCCCACCGCGATGCCTTGCCTCCCAACCTGCCAGCCAGTCATGCAGCTGCTTCACCTGCAAGCAGGGGGTGGCATGATGTGGCAGGAGAGGAAGAATCTCGGTCAGGGAGTGTAAGGCAGCAGCAGAAGCAGGGAATGAATCCTCCTGAGAGGCTACAGCAGACTTTGTAGCAGCATGACGCACCAGGCCTTGGTTTGCGATGATGTCTGCTGTACTCTTGGGAGCGTACTTCTGTGGCCATGACTCCACCTCCACTGGCCCTGATCTTGCTGCAGCTGCAGGTACCACCACAGGCCTCGCTGCACCAGCGTCCGCCTTGCTCGCTGGAGTTGCTGCATCAACTGATGCATCTGTCTTGAGCTTCTTTGGGAGTCGGTCAGAATCAGGCTTGTGATTGTCAGCAGGGAGACCCTTCTCTGCAGAAATCACTGAAGCAAAATAAGTTCTTGAACTTCTCGTTTAACTCAAGCACCTGTACACAAGAAAAACTATAAACAAGGGGATAACAACACCTGCAACCAGAGGCTGTTTAGCTGGGGGTGATTTCGCTGGCGCAGGAGGCTGCTTCTTTGCTGCAGCACGGATGAGGTCAAAGAGGCCATCCTCAGTGAGGAACTTCACCCTGCAGCCGCAGCAGAGCACAGAAGCAATTACGCGATTCAACATCATGAGAACCACATTGCAGATGAAAGACAGAAATCGGCTGTGAAAACGCTTTTGGTGGATTGCATTACCCTAGCTCTTTTGCCTTGGTAGATTTTCTGCCGCCAATGTCTTCATCAGCAAGGAGGTAGGTCTGAAATCCAAACATGAAAAACAGAAAACGGATCAGTCTGCAGGAGCTCACAATTCCCACATCCTTTTAATGACTCACGATTGTGTCAGGGCTACTCCACATTGTAACAGTAACACCTGACCTGTCCATAGCCATTCCAGTACTTGGATACTGAAGGCATGGTCCACCGCTTTACCACCACAGGTTGCTGACTAGAGCAGGCACGCATTCCCCAACATTTCACTGCAGTCTCAACAGCATTTTCTCTGAGGGAGTTTGATGACTCATTGATTCCAGTGCTATAACTTGGCAGCATAACATTGGCGGCATTGCAGCAAAGAGGAGTCTGTTGAAAAAGCTGTTCAGCTCAAACAATTCCAGCCAGTCTTGAGCTTCCAAAAAGGCAAGCACGAAGAGCACACCCACCGTTTTTCCACTGACAGCACTAGTGATCCGACCACCATGCCTCTTGATCAAGTCCTCAGCCTCCTCCCTTTCCAAGCTGCATGCCATGCATTGTTAACGTGAGAAAGTTGTGAGGAAATACCCATGGCTGAATGCAACAGTCTGGAAGGTAAATGACCTGTCAAGAGTGCCACTGATAACGAAAGTGATCCCCGTCAAGGCATTCTCAGGACCTTCAGGTACTTCCTGCACGAGCAACAACAAGTCAGCACCTATCTTGTGAAGAAAGACCAGCATTTGCACACTTAATGCAGCATACCTTCTCTCCTTTATGTGGAGGAGCGGCTCTTTCCCCGAAAAAGCCACCTCTGCCTCCCCAGCCTCTTCCTCGGCCTCCACCCCCACCACGACCCCCTCCAGCATCGCCACCGCCTCTACCCCCACCTCCTCCTCCCCTTCCTCTACCACCAGAATCCTTCTCCTCAGCAGCAGGTGCAGGCTGAGCCTTCGACGGCGTAGCCTTCTTCGTTGCAGGTCCTCGCTTCCTCTTTCCGGCTGGTTTTTCCTCCTCTTCTTCTTCCTCTTCGTCTGCTTCGCCCTCATCCTCCTCATCAGCATCATGATTGCCTGAATCCTTACCAACAACAAAATCCTCATCATCTTCATTGTCCTCCTCCTCATCGTCGTCATCATCTACGATCATGGACCTTTTCCTTGGCTTCTTAGAAGGCGTTGAGGAGCCTTTGACTGCCTTAACTCCTCGTTTTGGCTCATCCTTGGCAACTGATGCCTTTTGTAATGGGCTTGCTCGTTCTGGCTTCTTGAGAGGCTCGCTCGTTTTCGTAGGAGTTGGAGCATGAGACCCTTTACGCAGGATAGAGCTTGACGGGGACTTTAACGGAGAGGCCGAAGCTGCAGGTACGACATCCGTCTCCTAAACAGCAAGTCGGAAAATATTAGCTAAGTATGAATAATCGCTATGTACGGCGGAACTGACGAAATGAAAGCTTACCTTCTTTTTTTCAGCATCAGATACTTGAGGTGAAGGTTTTTTTGCGAACCATCGACGAATGTCCCCTTTCTGCATTCTGCTCAGTGTGAGAATAACAGAATCCTTCGGCTATTTCCCTTTCACGGCGCTCTTCAAATGTTTTGACGACTCTCGGATTATTTGTGCCGACCTTCAGTCCTTTGTGGGCAATGAAAGGAATGGTCGCACAACCATTTCCAGGCTGGAGTCAGGGAGAAGTGTCAATGAGAGGGGGAGACAATTTCTGTGAGCATTTGAAAGAGCCTCAAAACATCCGCGTTACGGGAATGGCCCTACACACGCCCTCAAAGCCCCTCCTATATTGAGCAAATCAATTAGTCTTTCCCTGTCGGACAATATGTTCAATATGACGGACAATACTATTAATGCATGATCACCTCTCACACTCCAGTATGTCCATGTTTCAATATACAAAAAAGGAGGGAGGTCATTCATCTCAGAAGAAGCGCATGAATTGCATAATGTTTAAATTTTCATTTGAGCATGTGGTTGGTTTTCGCATCAATGAATGATGATATAATCATAAATGAATTCAGTATTTAGCCCCCTTTTTCGTGATAAACACTTACTCTATAGAATGTGAAATGACTCATTCCGGTGTAGAAACTCCTGTCATAAATTCATTGGGACCTCAAAAGTGCATGGAATCAACATGTGGTACTGCAGGGTCTTTTATGCGGAATTACTGTTTGGTCCGTATCGAGTCACCTCGTGGACGTCTTGGATGACTGCATGCGGTGAATCCGCGTAAGGACAGTACGGTACGTATGTGGACGAAACATTCCGAGCATTCCGATTGGCGCTTTGCATCTCAACTGACGGCTAACCGCCGACTTCTGAACCGACACATTCCTGAAACCTACACTTCAGGTAACATTGAGAGCAAAGGGGGCAGCCCTTGGGGATTCCCAGAGCCGAGTCGCGTGTAGCTAACAACGAATCGCACATTTGCTCCACATAGAAATTGGGTCGAGCTGCAAATGCAAATGCATCATCCAAGCCATCCCGTCTCACCAACAGCCCTCCTCCCCACTCCCGCTGCATGCGTCGAGTGCGAGTGCAAGATATCACGTCAGACCATTCACACACCTCACTGCCTGCTACGGCCTACACGCATTCGACTCACCTTGTTCAAGCGTGTTTGTGAAGGTTCCACTTCGGAGATACTAAGGTGCGCGCACCCATCAATAATTCCCTGACGGTGTGTGATAAATCGTGGTGGAAATCACAACCATGAGTCCAGAATTGGCAGTCGAGAAAGAGAACACGGCGACTCTCATGGATGATCAGGTTCTGGCGATGAGCGGTGAGGAGAATCTGTCGGCTCCCAAGCTCAATTCGTGCTCTGCGAGCGGGGGGGGCTCTTGCGTCGTAGATAATGCCAAGAATCCGACCTCTGCGCCAGCGACCACGTGCGTCGCACACGACGCATGCGACAGCAATTTCGCGGAGCAGAGCGCACTTCTTGCGGCGGGAGGCAAGCGAAAGCTCGCCGAATCCGGTGCCGCGTGGGCCAGAGCCACCGGAAACACCACGGGTGACTACACCGACGGATCCTGGGACCCCGTCACCTCCCTCGCGAGCATTCGCCACGAGTTCGGCGAGCATGGCGGCGTGAACATGTCGATTGAGAACAGCGCGACGTTTACGGTGATGGAGCCGGAGAGCATGGCGAAGATCTTCACCGGGCAGCTGGGCCCTGAGAATGACTTCTTCGTGTACAGCCGGCACTTCAACCCCACCGTCATGGCGCTGGGCCGGCAGCTCGCGGCGCTGGAGGGCACGGAGTCGGCGTACTGCACGGCTAGCGGCATGGCCGCGATCTCCGCGGCGGTTCTGCAGTTGTGCAAACACGGCGACCGCATCGTCGCGTCTAACAGGTATTTACTCCTCGTTTCTTGTGCATCACGTCTTTTACTATTTCTTGTCTCAGAAGGTTTTTCCTCATCTCTGGGTCTGTTTTCATCAGGCTGTATGGAGGCACGTTCGCGTTCCTGGACTGCTTCCTCCCGCGCATGGCGGGCATCCGCACCACCTTCGTTGATATCACGGACCTCGCCGCAGTCGAGGCCGCTCTTAGCGGGGACGACGTGGGCCCAACCTGCGAGCTCGTCGGCAGCACAGCACCAGGCGCGGCTGCCGCCGTGCGTCCCGTCGTACAGGAGTCTACTGATAATCTGGCCGCCACCGGAGTATGCCCCACTTCACTTCTGCCATCCGTAGACTCACTGAATCATTCTGTTGGCGGAGATGGTGGGTATGGCGGGGATGGCGACTCACCAGCTGCTCCGGGAGGACCGAAGCCGCGTGCGGGCCCTGCGCGAGTGCTGTTCTTTGAGACGATTTCGAACCCCACGCTGGTGGTGGCGGACGTGCCGGCGCTGGCGGCGGCGGCGCACAGGCACGGCGCGGCGGTGGTGGTGGACAACACGTTCGCGCCCGTGCTCGTGTCGCCCGCCAAGCACGGCACAGACGTTGTCGTGCACAGCCTCAGCAAGTTCATTAGCGGTAATGGCGGAGACAGATGCGCTCATGACTCCCTTCGCCTGGGACACACGCTAAGACCGGCTTCCATTGTTCTATTGCGCTTGAATAGCGTGCGGGCTTTGGTGTATTTGTGCGGTTGCTGTGCGTGGAAATTTCTCACGTTGACGCACCCATAATGTCCCCATTCACTGATCAGGAGCGTCGGACGTGATAGCGGGGTGCGTGTGCGGCTCAGCTGCCTTCATCGCGTCGCTCATGAGCCTCACCTCCGGCTCGCTCATGCTGCTTGTGGGTCGCTCAATCGCACGCCCACACATTTACACACACAGCCGCACTCACTCCCTCGCACAGAATTTATAAAAGGAAAAAACAATAGAGTTTTATTGTTGAATAACTGCACTCGCACCCACCTGCTGGTCAAGCACCCCACCGCTGGTACTGCATTCACACCCTCACATGCATGTCCTGTCATAGCAACTCGCAGCTCACCTCCTCCTCATTTCTCTCTCTGCTGCCCAACGTCCCGTCCCCTTCGTTCTCACCTCTCCAGGGAGCTACCATGAATCCGCAAGTGGCTTTTAACCTGTCAGCCCGCCTGCCCCACCTACCGCTGCGCATGCGGGAGCACGGCCGGCGAGCGCTGCTCTTTGCCTCGCGCCTGCACGCGCTGGGCCTGCCCGTGTGCTACCCCGGGCTGCCCTCACACCCCCAGGCACACGTGCTTGCACGCATCTCCAATGGTTCCCGGCCCCACCTGCTCCCCTCTGCTGCTGGCGGTTGTACTGCTGGTGTAAGTGGTGGTGTGGAAGTGGGCGGGGGGAGTGGTGGGGTGGAGTGGCTAGGGCCGTATGCAGGAGGGGGGATGCTAAGCCTGGACCTTGGCAGCACCGCCATGGCATACGACTTCATGCGGCACCTGCAGAACAATGCTGAGTTTGGATACATGGCGGTTTCCCTTGGGTTCCATGACTCACTGGTGTCCTGCAGTGGTGCCAGCACCAGCAGTGAGATGCGCGCAGAGCAGCAGCAGGCAGTGGGGATATCTCCTGGGTTGGTGCGCATGTCAGTGGGGTATACGGGCAGTGAGGAGCAGCGCTGGTCGCAGCTTCTGCAGGCTGCTGCTGCTGTGGGGCTTGTGGGGGGGGAGGGAGGAGGGAAGAGGAGGAGGGTGGTGGGGGAAGCGGAGGGAGAGGGTGTGGTGGTTGGGGAGGGAGTGGTGGTATGAGCTTTGAATGGAGGATGATTAAGGTTAGGAGGAGCTTGCTGTGATTATTGTTTATATAGGGGGAGGGGGGATTTGTACATACCGTAATGGGCAATGCTTGTTTTACTGTACATAATATGTGATATTGATGGGTAATGTGCAGAATTGCCAGCTTATCATTACCAGCTCACATGGAGCATTGTTTGTAGCATGCAAGAGACCCCGCTGCCTCCCTGCACATTTTGCAGGAAATGACCTTTGTTTGCGTAGCTGCATATTGCTGAACTGCCATAAACTGGCTCAAATCAGACGCAGTTGATCGTTGAATCTGTGAGTCTTCGTTTAGTTACGAGCGACTTATTTAGCATCTGGGAGTATTGGTAAATCACTGTTCTTGCCAGCATACTAGAAGCATGCATAGACCGTTTCTTCAATATTAGACTGTTTCACTTATAAAGCTGAGAGCTGGTTCAAAAAGGGTTTTGGCAAATACCGGTATAATACGGTTTTTCTCTTCCATTTCCATATTCATCCAAGCTCCGACCTTTCTCCTTTCTAGCCGTTGCGTACGATGAGCCAGTCAGAATATGCTGATAGTTCGTTAGTTATTGTACCAAGCGACGAACGATAACTAACGAACTTCTAGTTAGCAGGATGACGAAAGCAACAGAAAGCGTGCAGGGAGGAAGTAGGAGGGCTGTAGATCCACCAGCGTCGCTTACACCAAGAGTCTTGAACGAGTGTCAGGAGTCAGTACCGAAACGAATTCTCGCCGGCATTTCTTGATTTCATTCGACCCGCTCTCCTCAGCCAGAAAACTGACAGCTTTGATGACACGGTGATTCGATTCTTCAAGACGTTTCTGGGCGTGCTGGTCGCGGAGGGCAGCGAGGACGCCAGGGAGATGATGGAGGAGCTGCTGTGTCTCTTCTCGCAGTACAGCGACGCGCGCAGCAAGGCCGTCAGTACGTCACTAGAGTGCCCTCGGAGGTATGCCACACTCTCCCTTTCCGCTCCAGATGTGCTCGCAGAACTTAAAATAGTCTTATCCCAAGCGTTTTAGGTCTTATTCTAAGCGCATCAGGTCTTAACCCAAGCGTTCAGATCTTGTTCCCTGCGTGTCATGTGATTACAAGCGCTTGTACCCCTCGCAGGTGCTGAATTCGTTTAGCCGGGCAGCTTCAGTCTATCCGCCGACGCCATCGTGATCATCCGCGAGTTCTCGGCAGGACTACCTGGCGCTGCTGGAAACGCACATGCAAGCAGGTACGAGGCGAACTTTACAGGCTATTTGGTATATTTTACGCAAGCGCCATGCTAAAACGTGCTTGTAGCTCTCGCAGGTTCGGAGGGTCGGTTCGCGGCGCGGCAGCTGATGCAGCTGGCGGCGGTGCTCCACTTCACCGACGCCACCATCCGCGCGCACGCCGCCGCGCTCGTGCACCGCCACCTCGTCGGCGCGCGGCCAGCGCGCGCAGGGGCGGGGGGGGGCTCTGCTGGGGCTGGCGCAGCGCGTGCACGCCTTGGATGCTGACGTTCTCGCTGCTCTCGTGGACGCTCTGGCTGACGTCAGGCTCTGCTGCGGCTGTGGTGCAAATCGGCAGGCGGCGGCGCGTTCAGGGCGTGGAGGAACCTGCGCGTGGAGCCGCAGGAGGCGCTCAACTGCATCCTCGTCCCCGCGGTACGCGCGCGCGCTGCCCTCACGACCTCACTCCGCTTGCCCTCAAGCATTCGCTAACACGGTGGTTTGCGAGCATTCGCTGCACTGCGCCTGTGCCTGCATTCGTTACCGTCACCCGTATGCTTATCGCCCTTTCCCCCCCACGGTCTGTGCCGGCAGGCAGTTCACCCGTCGCCTCTGGTGCGCGCGGAGGCCGTCGCCGCGCTCCAAGCCTTCGCCTTTCTGTATGCGCCGTCCTTTCGCTCCCACCTCCCCCTGCTGCACGACGCAGCGCGCGATTCCGCGCACTCCGGCGTGCAGATGGCGGCCGTGCGCGCCCTGGCGGACCTGCTACTCTGGCACCGCCTCGCCGCGCTGTTCCCCGACGTCGCTGCGCCCGGCCTCAGCGACGAGGGCGAGGGGAGTGCGGTGAGCGGATGCAGTGCCGGGGGAGAGGCGCAGCGCGCAGGAGGGGCGCGTGCGGAGGGGAGCGTGGACGTATTGCTGGGGCTTGCTGGGGCTGGTGCCGCTGGCGGGCGGGCAGGTGGACATTGAGGCGGCGAGGGAGGATGTAGAGCGCGCAGGGCGACAATCGGAGGGGGAGGACGAGGGGGAAGCGGAGGGCGTGGTGGGCGTGGTGTGCGAGGGGCTGTGCAAGCTGCTGCTGGCGGTCGCGAGCAGGGGCGCGGGGAGGGGCGCTGAGCGGGGAGCAGAGGACAGGGTGGAGCGAGTGGTGCAGGTGCTGGTGCAGGTGTACCTGTGCAGGTGTACCTGTGCAGGTGTACCGGTGTCTTGGCCCCGCTGAAGACGAGGTGCCCAGGTGCGTGGAGTCGTGTCTCTGTGTGTGTCCCTGTAAACGATTGTCTCGCCATGGTTCCTCTGGCTTGTACTTCCTCTGGGTATGCTGATTGTGTGTGTGTACTCCGTAAGCCGTCCTTCCCTCATCATCTCCCCACACCCCCCTCTCCCCTCGCTCGTGCCTCACAGGACACGTCAAATGCTAGCAGAGCGCAACCGCCCTGGCCGTGCTGCCAGCCTACAAGGTATTCCACTCAGCCTACTTTAGCAGCCAGTAACTGCCCTTTCTGGTGGCATCACTTCCTTTGACAGTCTGTCGCTGTGGCACCTCACTCCTCCCTCCCTCACTCTTCCCCGTTCGCCCCCTCTCCCCGGATCCCTCCCTGTCATCCCTGTCCAGGTGGCAGCGTCGCGGTTACTGCTGCCAGTGCTGTGGCAGTTGTGGCCGTCCAAGGCGGCAGCAGCAGCGAGGCAGCCTGCAGTGCGCGCCTCGCAGCTGCTGCTCTCCCTCACGCTCACGCATGGTGCCCACGGGGTCGTGCCGCCCAAGCGGAGTGGAGAGGGCGAGGGGGAGGGGGAAGGAGAGAGAGCGGAGGAGGGAGAGGAGGAGGCCGAGGGACGAGTAGCAGGTGGTGATGGTGGTGGTGGTGATGGCAAGAAAGTGAGGGGAACGGGTGAGAGCAGCAGCATACAGCAGCCAGTGGGCTTCGAGTCTCTGGCTCTCGACTTTGCTGCTGAGGTGGGTTCCTCCACGCTGCTGCCCTCTTGGCACGTCCACCCAGGGACATTCGTCTCTTATTCTCTCCCTTGGCACTGCCGCACGCTGGGCTGTGATGCTGAGCCCCGTCGTGCTCTCCGCTAACGTGCTGTGCTTTCCGCTAACGTGCTGTGCTCCTCACTCCAGCCATATCATGCTCTTTCCCCTTCCGTCGCAGGTGCTATCCTCCCCACTGGCCTCGGCGGGCAGTGCGAGTGGGAAGGCGTACAGCGCGCGCTCAGAGCCACTCAGCTGCTCGTGGAGGCGCCACTCTGGGCCTCCCAGCAGGACGACGTCAAATGCCTTCGCATCGGCGCTGAGTGATAACCTCATTCAGCCTCCGCCCTTGCCCTTGCCTGCTGCCATGCCCGCCAGGCGTGCCGGTGGCCTCGGCAGGCAGTGCGAGTGGGAGGGCGTACAGCGCGCACGTTGTGTAGTGCAGCTGCTCGCGCATGTCAAATGCCTTAGCATCGCCGCTGAGTGGCAACCTCGTTCAGCTTGCCTGCTGCCATGCCCGCCAGGCGTGCCGGTGCCAGGCACAGGCGCTCCGTGCTTGAGGATGGGAGTGAGAGTGGGGGCGAATGTGAGGGTGAGGGTGAGAGTGCGAGAATGAGTATGAGAGTGAGAGTGAGAGTGAGAAATAAGGTGAGAGTGCGGGTCGGAGTGACGTAGAGAGTGGGAGTTGCACCAAGGGCACAAGGGCGGTGAGGGACGCGCTAGGGTGCAGACGGCTGGTGGATTGAGAATGAGCTTGGAGCAGGAGGGGGAGGCGGGCAAGGGTGGTGAAGTGGCAGTGGGGGCTGAGAGGCGGCAGCCTCTGCGGCGTCGCACTGCCTCTGCGGCGTTGCACTGCGCTCCAGCAGCTGCAACGACATGAGGTGGGGGCTGACAAATTATGCTCCACTGCCCAGTGATGCGCAGCAGAAGTGCAGTGACAGGAGGAAGGGGCAAATTGTTATCCACTGCCAGAGCGGACAAATTGTTCTTCACTGCCCAGTGATGCGCTGCAGCAGTTGCAGTGACAGCAGGAGGCGGACAACAGTGCTGCGCAATGTATCTTTTGCTGATCTACTCCAGGGCTCACTCTTGAGTTCTAAATTCTGCTATAGTTTAGACTGTATGTTATGTAGTAGTTCTTAGAGATACAACGCTTTGGTGCACTTCGATGCTTCGATTGTTAATTGGCGGATCATTGAGCGCATTCGTTATTTTATGGAGATTCATTTGGTTGTATAGCAAACATTGGAGCAGTAAAAATACGTGGAAACATCGTCTGTCTATCTTATGAAATACATTCTAAACAGTGGGATGATGACTCAAGTTAATGTCAAACATGTATGCTGCATATTGTCTAGGCTGTAGTGGGGTAGCCCATATGGGGTACAACCAAATTAGGGTTTCCTACTTGTACTCCTGCATGCTGTTAGTTCATCATTCCTGCTGCCAGATTCTAACATGGTTTCAGAGCACTAAGGTCCGTAGGACCGTTTTTTTCGGGCCCACCTACCACTGCGGTTACCGCGCTACCCCACGTACCTGCCTGCCTTGCCTTGCCTTGTGACGTGCTGCACTACGCGAGCCGTCCAGCAGCCCTAGCGCTGCCTCCTGCTGCCCTAGGCCAGCGCGCTGCCCCTAGAGGCCCGTAAAGTCTCGCACCGCCCCTACACGCCCTTCAGGCCTGCGCAGCCCGCACCGAGCCGCGCGCAGCCCGCTGCAGCCGCGCGCAGCCCGCAGCTGCCGCGCGCAGCCCCCTGCAGCCGCGCGCAGCCCGCACAGAGCCGCGCGCAGCCCGCTGCAGCCGCGCGCAGCCTGCACCGAGCCGCGCACAGCCCGCTGCAGCCGCGCGCAGCCCGCACCGAGCCGCGCGCAGCCCGTTGCAGCCGCGCGCAGCCCGCACCGAGCCGCGCGCAGCCCGCTGCAGCCGCGCGCAGCCCGCACCGAGCCGCGCGCAGCCCGTTACAGCCGCGCGCAGCCCGCACCGAGCCGCGCGCAGCCCGCTGCGGCAGCGCGCAGCCCGCACAGAGCCGCGCGCAGCCCGCTGCAGCCGCGCGCAGCCCGCACCGAGCCGCGCGCACGCGGCCCGCGCGCCGCCCGCAGCAGCCCGCGCCGAGCCGCGCGCGTCCCTCTGCCTCGGCCCCGACCTGCCGCTGATACGGCCCCGCTCTGCAGCTGCCACGGCCCCGACCTGCCGCTGAAGCGGCCCCGCCCTGCAGCTGCTTCGGCCCTACTCTGCACCGGGTGTTGCGGCCCCGACGTCGCCGCTGTCGTGCGCCTACTCGGCCGCCGCCCGTTGAGCGCCGGCCCTGCTCGCCCGGCGAGCGCCTGCTCTTCCAGCCTTTGGTGAGCGCCTGCCTGCCTGCCTGCCTGCCTGCCTGCCTGCCTACCGGCCTGCCTGTCTGCCTGCCTGCCTGCCGGCCTGCCTGTCTGCCTGCCTGCCAGCCTGCCGGCCTGCCTGTCTGCTTGCCTGCCTGCCGGCCTGCCTGCCTGCCCGTCTGCCTGCCGGCCTGCCGGCCTGCCTGCCTGCCGGTCTGTCTGTCTGCCTGCCGGCCTGCCTGCCTGTCGGCCTGCCGCGCCTGCCCTGCCCGCGCTACTGCTGCTGCTACTGCTACTGGCCGGTGGCCAGATGCAGCCCCAGCGACGTTCGCGAGAGTCTCTCACGCCCCAGCAGCTTAGTGAGTGGTATACTAGCTGGGGTTGTCGCGGTAGCAGTCGTAGCTGTCCCCCTGGAGCTGGTCAGTTGGGAGCGTCCGGCAGTGGCCAGCTGCAGCTGCAGCGGCGTCCTCGCGAGACACTTACGTCCCGGCAGCTCCACGAGTGGTACGCTCAGTGTAGCAGGTCTACGCGTACAGTTCGCTGCCAGTACGTCATTCGCACAGGTGATCGGGTTGGTCAGCCTTGCGGGACGCTTGGTCACACACAGTCCCGCTGCTTCGCCCGTCTGAGCGACGACTGGCGTACAGTGTTTGGAGACGAGGCTGAGCTCCCCGACTGGCTGGAGCTGCTTGGACGGAGGGTAGATATCTTTGCTCCTGACTATGATGCTATTCTCACTGCCATGTATGCATTACCTACTAGTGTTGACCGTGCCTGTTACCTGTGCGTCCCGCCTGACCCTGGTATAGCGCCTGCTGCTCCCGGTACTGGTGAGGCTGCTGCCCTAGGTGCTCGTGCGTCTCCTCCTCTGGGTCCTGGTGAGGCTGCTGCTCTAGGTGCCGGTACGTCTCCTGCTCCAGGTGCTGGTGAGTCTGCTCTCTCTGGGTCTGCGCCTGCTGCGGCCTTGTACACCTTCACGCTGGACTCAGGTGCTTCCCGCTCCTTCTTTCGCGACTGTACCACACTCACGCCGCTTAGTCGGCCGGTTCCAGTCTCCCTGGCGGACCCCTCCGGGGGTCCGGTCCTTGCCCACTACTCCACGGTTCTACCGTGTCCGGCCGCCCCGTCTGGCTCACTGTCAGGTCTTTACCTCCCCTCGTTCTCTACGAACTTTGTGAGTGGAGCTGACCTCCAGGATAGGGGGGTGCACCAGTTCACTCCTGCGAGTCAGCGAGTGACTCACTGTACGTGTGCTCGGACCGGCCGACATCTGGCCACGTTTACCCGTGCGCCTGGCTCGAGTCTGTACACCCTGACCACTGAGTCCCCTCAGGTAGCTGCGTCTGCGTCTGCGTCAGGTCAGCCGACGGCCCCCTGCGAGTGTCGCGCTTTGTCGCACCAGACCCTCCTGTGGCACCACCGCCTTGGTCACCCCTCGGTGCAGCGCCTTCGTGGCATGCACTCTCGCTTCCTGGTTTCTGGTCTTCCCAGGTCTTTGCCTGCCCTGCCTCCCTCGCTTGCGCCGCCCTGCATTCCTTGCGTCGAGGGGCGGCAGCACGCCGCTCCTCACTCCTCCTCGTTCCCTCCCACAGAGGCTCCCCTGCAGACTCTCCACCTGGACGTGTGGGGCCCCGCCCGCGTCCGTGGACAGGGCCACGAGCGGTACTTCCTGCTGGTTGTTGACGACTACACGCGTTACACCACGGTCTTTCCCCTGCGCAGCAAGGGGGAGGTCCCTGCTGTTTTGATCCCTTGGATCCGCGCTGCCCGTCTCCAGCTCCGCGAGCGGTTTGGGACGGAGTTTCCCGTCCTGCGTCTGCACTCTGACAGAGGTGGTGAGTTCTCCTCAGACCTCTTGGCAGCCTTCTGTGCGGAGCACGGCATCACCCAGTCGTTCACGCTTCCGGACTCTCCGCAGCAGAATGGGGTTGCTGAGCGCCGCATTGGCTTAGTCATGGAGGTCGCTCGTACCTCCATGATCCATGCGGCTGCCCCTCATTTTCTGTGGCCGTTTGCGGTCCGGTACGCCGCGCATCAGCTCAACCTCTGGCCCCGTGTCTCCTTGCCGGAGACCTCGCCCACACTACTGTGGACGGGGAAGGTTGGCGATGCGTCGCGTTTCCGGGTCTGGGTTGCTCGTGCCTTTGTCCGCGATACCACTGCGGACAAGCTCTCCGCCCGTGCAGTTCCCTGTGTCTTCCTTGGCTTTGTCCCTGACGCACCTGGTTGGCAGTTTTACCACCCCACCTCGCGCCGTGTCTTTGCGTCTCAGGACGTCACGTTCGATGAGTCGGTTCCCTTTTACCGTCTCTTCCCCTACCGCACTGCCCCTCTCCCTCCCCCGCCGCTCTTCCTCGCTCCGGGTGCTCCCCAGGTAGACCCCCTCCCCGCTCCCGGTCCTGCTCCTTCAGGTGTGTCTCAGGTAGACCCTCCTCCCTTCCCTGCGCCGGTCGAGGTCACTGGTGACTCAGGTCCTACTGGGGGTGGTCCTGCTCGGGGTGCTCCTTCTGGGGGTGCTGAGCCTGGGGGTGCGGAGCTTGAGAGTGTGGAGCCTGGAGGTGCTGAGCCTACGTGTGAGGGGTCTGGAGGTGCTGGAGCTAGTGGTTCTGGGGCTGCTGAGGGTGCGGGTGCTGGAGGTTCTGGAGCTGCTGGAGGTCCTGGTGCTGGTGGCGCTGGAGCTGGTGGTTCTGGGGCTGCTGAGGGTGCGAGCGCTGGAGTATCTGGAGCTGCTGGAGGTCCTGGTGCTGGTGGCGCTGGAGCTGCTGAGGGTGCTGGCGCTGAGGGTTCAGAGTCTGCTGTTGCGCGGTCTCCTTGGAGTAGCCGCCTTCGTCCACGTGTGCCTCTCACCTCACAGCAGCTGCACGACTGGTACGGTCGCCGTCAGGGTCGCGCTGCTGGAGCCCGGGGCTCTACTGCTGGAGGTACTTCTGCTGACGTCCCTGGAGCTAGGAGTGGTGCTGGTACTTTGTCTACTGGTGGTGCTGGAGTCGCTGGTCCCGGAGGTGCTCGTACTGGAGGTACTGGAGCTGCTGGGGCTGGGGGTGCTGCGTCTGGAGGTGCTGCTGCTGGAGACACCGAGGCTGGAGACCCTGGGACTGGAGGTGCTGGTTCTGGGGGTGCTGCTGCTGGAGACGTGGAGGCTGGAGACCCTGGGACTGGAGGTGCTGGTTCTGGGGGTGCTGCTGCTGGAGGCACTGGGGTTGGAGACCCTGGGCCTGGAGGTGTCGGTTCTGCTGCTGGAGGTGCTGGAGCTGCTGGAGGTACTGGAGCTGCTGGAGCTGCCGGTACTGGTGCAGCTGCGCCGCCACGACTGTTCTTCGCTCCGCCGTCTCCGTCGTCTCTGCCGCCGCCTGACTCTGTTCTTCGTCAGGTTCTTACTCTCCCGTCGTCTACTGGTCTTCCGTTATAGCCTGGCTCACCGCTGCCTGCTCCTTCTCCTTACACTGAGCAGACAGGTAGTCTTGCTGAGCGTCGTGAGCCTGCGTCGCGTCCAGTCTCGCCTGTTCGTCCTAGTCGTACCGGTCGTCGTGTTCCTCGTCCGCGTCAGCCGGCTGTCCCCAGTAC